CAATTCTCATGTGTTCACATACTTCCCACATAAATCACATCATACTATGCATTCCAAGCAATTGATCCAATCAAAGATATCAAAAGAAGAGACTTGACCCAACAGGAGTCGCACAGCGCATCCTTTCCGCAAGGCGAGACAGGAGGATCTCGCACAGCGCACACCTTAATTCGCATAGCGAATTAAGTCGCAGCATACATCAGACTTCAAACCTCTCGCATAGCGCACCCAGGTCGCTATGCGAGAACCCAAACAGAGACCAACCTCCCCAAAGCTCTCACTATGCACCCCACTCGCCCTTCAAATTAAATGGGCAGTGATCCTAGACCACCACCAGTCGCATAGCGACAGGATTCGCCATAGTGAGTCCATAAACAAAGAGCATCACCCTCTGGTAATTCGCACAGCGCACCAGCTCGCATAGCGAATTTCCCAGACAGTGAGCACCCTCTACAGGGTTTCGCTATGCGAGACAACTCGCATAGCGACTCTGCATAATCAGTAGAACGAAATTTCTGCAGAATTATCTACTCAACCATTCCTTACCACTTCTAGACCTTTCTTCCAACTTCTAATGCCCCAAACTCATATTTCATACCTAGTTAAACTTGTTTAGGCGCTCCTAAAGTGACATTAACATGATTCTAAAGTAATCACTACCAAACTTTTCATTAAAACTCTAATGTTATTAAACTAAGGACCCAATTTCTATTCTACCTTGTTGCTAATGACTTTACTCAGTTTTCTGACCCTAACCAGTTCCAATTTACTCATCTAGACTAGCCCAACTTACCCAATTGGTCATCGGAGAAGAACCTAATGTCTGAACGCATCAAACTCACCTTCGATGTCAGCACATATGACTAGTCACAACTGACTGGATCAGACCAGGGCTGCTTTATGATCAGAGATGTGCCAACTCAAGTTTTTAAGGTTCCTTTATCCTACCAACAAAGTACTCTCAACAATTCATCCAAATTGTACTATATGTTCTAGACTCCAATTACCCAACTACAATGCATCACTTCCCTTCACACTAACCTGAAACAGTACCTGTATACTCACCTACTACTCATATTGACTGTTTTACAAAGTTCTTACTCCGGACCAGAAATTCATTACATCCAACAACCTCATCCAAGTCAAATAATGTTCAACACACCATGGTTACACAACTTCCACACAACCAGCAGATACAAATCAACATGCTCACCATAAAAATGTAACTCAACAGTAAATAATCAGAAATTATCAAGCATACACATCATATAGTTCAAACAAAACATAACTAGCTCCCTTTACTTGGATTTCTCCAAGCACAACTACTAAAACTGCCCTAGCAGTACCCTTGACAACACAAGAACTCAACCTGCCACCAAAGTGGTGACCACATCAGCTTTTAGAGTTTGATTAAGTGGAATGTACGAAAACGAAATCCACTAGTAACATGCAAACAGTAACGTTGCATGCCCTAGGTTCAAGGACAGTGAAGGAGAAGGGAATAAATAACTTACCGATCAGAATGAAGAGGATGTTCGATAGAAATGAAGCCCTCTACTCTGCGAACGCTTGGGTAGCACCAAAATCGAATTTCTATGGTTCAAGGAGCTGGGAATATAGAGAGAAGTCAGAGAAAAATTTTAGGATAAGGGTTTTAGAGTGAGAAAAGGAAAGAGCTCAGGATAGTGAAAGAAAAAAAAAACTCTGAGAAGCCCTTCCTAAGATTAAGCTGGCCTTAGACTAATGGGCTTGGCTGCCCCCCATAAGGCCCAATGGTCCCTCATTCATTTACAGGCCCTTACATTATATGTGTATATAATTTATTTTATCTTTTTATCTACTTATTTTATTTTAAAATAATTTTTTATTTATATTTATTTTGTTCCCTCATAAAATTGTTTTATTAATCAATTATTTATTATTTATATTTTATTATGTAAAAATTAAACTAATATTTATTAATTATTATAATATAATAAAAAATGATACTAGAAAAATTACTCTTAATAAACGTTTGTTAATTTTTTTGTCATTTGATATTTCTATAATATTAATTATTTTTGCTACATTACTATTTTTTTATGATATTTCATTATATATTCATGGGTTAAATATGTTTTTAGTCCCTAAACTATTGGTCGTTTCTGATTTTCGTCCCTCTTCCAAAGTAAGGTACAATTTGGTCCTCATTCTTTAAAAAAACGTTCGTTTTAGTCCTCAAAATTTTGTTTTTGGTCCTCGTTTTAGTCCTCAAAACGTTCGTTTTTTCGACTAAAACGAACGTTTTTTAAAGATTGAGGACCAAATTGTACCTTACTTTGGAAGAGGGACGAAAACCAGAAACGACCAATAGTTTAGGGACTAAAAACATATTTAACCCTATATTCATTTAATAAAATTTAACGTTAAAAAGTATATTTTAGTTTTAGTATGTAAAATACTATCATTTAAAAATAATAATATTAATATTTATTTTAAAGTAAGTTGATTTTTAAAATAAATAGTTATTTTAGTGTGTGCGCTTACACACATTTTAATATCATTAAAAGTTTTTTTAACATATTTTTACATATTTAATAATATGTTAAAGAATATAATATATTTAAAGTATTATTTTTTTTACATAGTCTTTTTTTTATGATTTATATTACTTAATCATTTAATAATATTAAATTTAAAAAAAAATATTTTACTTTTATTACTTAAAATAATATTATTTAAAAAGTAATATATGTTTATTGATAAAAAAAATATAAAAATTTGTGATAAAAAAATTTTGTCTTAAAAAATTCATTATTAATTTTTTATTTGAACGGTTTCTTTTATAAGTTCAGTTTTTAAAAACTAAACCATAAAATACTATACTGAACTTTTAGTAAAAATGGATCAATTTTTTTAAGTATAATATAGTATAGTTAACTATAGTATAGTACAGATCAGTTATTTTTGTCCAGCCTTAATTTTATGTATATAATTATACAAATTAATATTTGTTTAGTACCATAAGAATGTTGATATATGCGACAAAAGATGAATATAAATTTTTAATTGAATCGTCCCTATGCGGATTCCTTATGATGCAAAACATACAGTCTGGTTTTTGTTGTAAGTTTCACCGACATTCACATTTACTCAATTTGGCTACAAACAAAAAATGTTTAGTTGTCTTAAAATTCATCGTATTTTTTATACGATTTATGTCTACATTGATGATTTTATAATTTTTTTAGCTACGAACCATTTTTTTGTTTCATATGGTATGCGCTTGGGCGCTATGATATATGTTTCCAGCGAATGTAATATTCAAAAATCAAATTCAATGAAAGATTATATTTTTAAATGAGTAATATGATTTTTTTTATTTAAGTTAAATTGTATTGCAATCCTGCTTGGTATTTATATTATTCTGGATAATAGGGTAAGAGCAATGAATGAGGAGTATCTTTTTATTATTTTTGTCCTTTATTTTATTTTTATCAAGTATAGATTCTCTAGAGTAATAATTGTCATTATCTAATTATTTTGGTATTTTCACTTATCCATCTCAATGGCTCCTAAGCCATCAACCAAACATACAAATGATTCACTCAAAACTATCCATGAGTTCCTGACGACAATACAAGGTCACATGGAAACAATAAAGATCTGCCATAATACTTTCCAAGCAAGTATATGGAAACATTGAAAAATCAGTTTTTGTCTTTCCAAACGTACCCTTACACCTTCCTCATCATCTATAGTGAACAACGTTCCTACTACTTATCAAGATTTTCCCAAAATCATGGTTTCACCCTTCCAATTACTACTAACCCCCTTGTATGTCATACTCCCTTGGTCACTTAACCTATTCCACCATCCCTCTTCGCCACATAACATTTCAACTACAGCTATACCATTTCCACACTCCACCAACACTTCTTTTGCTTCCCCCACTACACCATTTTTCCTTTTATATACATATAACTCCTTATTTCTACCACAATTCCACTATGCCCTTTACCTATAGCTAACAACATACACTACCTCCTACTTTTCACCCTTACAAATTGCAACTAGCTTTGTTTGATGGCTTAAAACCTTTTGATTCACTTTTTCAAATTGAGCAATGCTTTTTCCTATCCTAGGTTTCTATAGAACAACCATTGTCACTGTAAAAAAAAAAAATCTTATATTACTATCGTCAAAAATTTATTCGTATTTTCTTTTCTTTTTACAAATTATCGATAAGCAAAAATCTATCAATAATATTTTTGTCAAAAATAATTAATTATGATCGTTAATAATTATCTTAACAAATACATTTGTCGGTAATTACTGACAAATATATTCACTAGTAATTAAAATTTATCGATAACTACCAACTTGATTGATGTCAATAAAAATAGAACTTTAATAATATTAATTGAAATAATTTTGACGAACTTAAAAAAAAAATAACATTAACAAAAATCAACTAAAATTATAATCAATATTAATATTTTTGAATAATTAATACTTTATACTGAAAAGAGAAATTTAAAATACAATAAATTTGAATATTTTAAACAATTATTAAATTTCATGAAAGCTGCTTCTAATAAGATTATGTTAGACATTTTTATATATATCTACATTAATTTTTAAATTTGACATAACTTTATAATTACTTTTTAATATCCATTTATTGGAAAACAGAAACGGAACATGAAAAAAATTATTATTTGTAATACATTTATACATTTATCGTGAAAGTAAAAATACAAAGTAGTATAAATTTATTGTGTTATATTTATAATTTTAATCATTATTTACATATTTAAAAACAAAAGAAGAGGAGTATCCATATACTTGTCACGATTCCAAAGTGTGGCATTGCATGGAGGATGCTATGATGTGTGAGTTGTCCATAAGCCACAGTTCGCCGTGGTTTCGCATAACCAATTTCAAAAGAATCATACAAAAAGAAATAAACATTTTTCTGTAAAAAAAAGAATCCAAATAGCTAGAGGGAGACGGTACAATATTGAATTTGAAACGTACATAACAAAGTATAACATCCATTACATTCTTAGCATCTCTATAACAAAATATGATATTCTTACATGTGTAGTATAAAAATATAAATTAATTAAATAGACTGGCTGCCAAAGGTTGGGTTTCAGGATTGTTACTTTCTGAATTTTAGTGCATCAAAGCGCGCAGCAAGTTCATCATAATCCGGCAATTTGGGATGAACACGATGAATGCTGCTATCCTGTTTAGCCAGAGATGAGGGTACCGGTGGTGGAAGCCGATTAGGGGGTAAAGTAGGACGAGGCTCTTCTGCTTCATTTTCTTCATCACAATCTGATTCATCAAATTTAATATCTGAATTAGCAGAAGTTGGATGGTAGCTGTGCCTCCGATGATCATTTCCACCATATTGCTTAGGCAATGAATCCTCCTCAATTTTCACTTGATCAGATCTTGGTAAGCTCTGTGACCTATACATTTTGTCCTCAGTTGAAGGATTGTTTGCTTGGAAGGTCCCAGAGTAAACATATGGTTGAGGAGCTTCATTATATTCCTTCTTAGCCATATAAGCAGCAACTTCAGCAGCAGCAATTGCCTTCTTAGCTGCTTCAGCTGCTGCTTCAGCAGCAGACCTAGAATCTTCATAATGCACGGCATCCGTTTTTCCACCACCTGATAATCTGAAGAAATCACCCAAAAATCCTATTAGAGTTAGTGAATGAGAATATAATGAACACATCTAATTGGGTTGGCTATAATATATGTATCACCTTGTAGCTGGCCTATTTGATTCAACCGATACATTTGTGGAAGGCTTCACTGGTAGGCTGCTTGCACTGACAAAAGTACGTGGCCCATCCTGATGAGAGAGAAAAAGCCCGATCATTAATAAAAATGGTTGCAAAGCATAATAAAATAAGGAAGATCAAGACACAATACGTACTATTGGCTCTTCTGGAGGCTTCAGAAGTTCTTTCTCAGATTCCGTAGTATCCCAATCAATTTGATGTTCCTTAGCTATTTCCTTCAACACTTTCAATTTTACTTCACCAGGAGGTGTTCGTACTGAGAGTTTTTCGATCAACTAAAAATCCATTGCATTTCACAAAAATTTGTCTGAATACTTTTGAGGATTAATAGAAAATAGGTAGTTTAATACTACAAAGCATAGAAATCCAAAAAGCTGCTTATTTTATTGGCAAATACGAGTAAAATTGCAGTCAGTAAAGTGCTAACCTGGCGATTTACACCACAGCTAGGTCTAAGATCAACAGCTGCAGACACAAAATCTTTCCCATATTTCTTCTCAAAGATATTCTTAAGTGATACAAGTTCTGGAATTTCAGAGCACCTAGGGGCTGCAAATATCAAGCTAGCGATTCCTTCTTTCAAATCTGCTGGACATTCCCTGAACCAAGTAGGATTAACATCAGAATTTCAAGTCTGGCCACAATTACTGAACCAGTTTCCAAATAAAATAACCAGTTTCCAAATACTGAACCTTTGCTTTGCAATGATTGAGAGTCTGGCCACAATTAGTTCGCAAAAGAGTTCAATGAACTCATTTGCAGCCAAAACATTTTGCTCTCTCATGACATGCTCAACCTGCAATAAGCCACTAATGGTAAATATTATAAAATTGCATGTGGTCTCATCTTGATAATGTTACATGGCACCATTATATTTACGTACCAAGTTACTTTTAGTCTAGCTTTATGTAGTCAGAGAAAGATACCATGATGAAAAAAGCTTATTGGAAACTAGAAATTTCGACTTAAACAAGTAGCTTGGCCTATTTTTAATATAAAAATGTTCACGAGATGTCTCAAGCCTTTAGACAGGAGATGACATGGTGATAAAAATTGGGAAAAAACATTCGTTATGCTTAGATATGGCAACGATCAGAAGATATTATCAGCCGCCCCATGCTACACGACAACTTGTTCTGAAATAAAAGCTATATCTCATTGTCACATATCCTAACCCTTTCTTATTATCGCCTTAAGCAACTAAAGAGATCAGTATCTACAACCTTAAGCATTGAAAAATATGAGTAACAAGTCCAAAAATAACGATATCACGTGTATAAAAATAGAACGCAGGCTTTGACTCTCAAAGTACTAGGGAGGTGTTGACCCTCAAAGTGATGCAGTGTTCTGTATTTGCAATTGCAATTGAGATTTACCCGTTTCCATCAACTAGTATCACCGCTACGGTCTTGAAGGATTCAGGAGCTGCTCAGGGTTCAGATCAGCAAGGATGAAGAAGAAGCATGTTCTTGACGTTATTGGGGGGAATGAGGCAGAAGATAACAGGTTTCAGGAGAGAAATACGGCAAAACTGAACAACAGAATACGAAGGTTTGGCAAGCAAAGAAACCACAGATTGGATACCAGGAAGAGAAGAACTAAAATATGGAACGGTCCAATAAAACAAAAAACAATGGGGGCAGAAAGTTTGGAACTAAAGAAAACCGGCATGGGGAAACCTAGATCGAGGAACAAGTTTGCATTACTAATCAAATACAGAAAGAAACTCAATCAGAAACTGTTACTAAACCAAACGGTAAAAACTGTGTCCTCATTTCCAACTAACATAAACATCTAACAGCATTGTTATTTCGAGTGTCCTCGAAAATTCTCACGAATGATCAGAAACAAAAACTGTAAACGATGTAATGTAGATTAAACATATAATTTAGTGCCGACACCTCCAACAAATTTTGAATTAGGTACCAACAGCACATAAAAATTCATTAAATTGGTTTTACATGTACAATGGTACCCGGTGGTTGTCACCATTAAGCCTAACCAATGACATTCTTAATTTGGTCACGTGTAACACATTTTTAATTTGATCTGTTGGAAGTTATGAATTTGGTCCCACATTAGTAACGTGTAAAGATCAAATCAAGAATGCATAAAAGAATCCAAATAGAGAACATTTTACCCAGATAAAATCCGATTTAAGAAGTTTATGTTTGTGGATGCAGAGAGAAGAAATTGATAATAAGAAGAATACTCATTTTTGCACTGTTAATATAAAACATAATAAAGTAATGTAGGGTTTTGTGTTACCCTGATACGAGCAGTGGCATCTTGACCAGACTGAAGAAGAAGAGCAATGTCTCGTCGCATCTGTCTGACGACCACCTCTCTCTTGTTCCGCAGCAGCTTGATCCTGGCCACCGCCATCTTCGCTGCCGTTTTGCTGACCGCAGAAAAGACAGCCATTGATTTTCGTTATTACACAACAACGAGAGTAAGAGAGAAAATAAGGTGAGTGCAGTACCATTTGGAGGAGTTGAAGCCGAGGCGGAGGAGGGAGAGCGTGAGTTTCACGAGCCTCTTGGTGCGTGCGGAGGCTTCGCTTGCGACCGTCATGGCAAAGTGGCGGAGTGTGAGGAAGTGATGGGTGGGGGTTTAAGGGGGAGAAGAGAAGAAAAGTAACGGTCTTCTAAAGCGGAAAGAAAATAATAAAAATAATAATTAAAAGAAAAAAAGGAGTTAGAAAAGGGGATAAGTTTGTCGTTTTATTTAGAGTAATGGAGCGTATGAATGAGCTCGTGGGAAAATGTAGCCGTTATAGGAGGGAAGACGTTGAGAATGAAGATAGCTTCTACTGGAATCCTATGCAACAGGTCTACCTGTACTGTCAAATCTCTTATCTATGAAAGCACCACCTGGATGACCTGGGGATTCGTTTAACTAAATCAAAGTATTTTGAGTCATTCTTCCTGCACCTCACGACCCTCGTCCTGCACCTCCAAAAGAAATTTTAATTCTAACTATGCCCTTGCCACAGTCAACGAGGAGAGAAGAATATTTTGGATTTTTAAAAAGTTTAGTAAAACTTTAATCTTCTGCCGCATCTCAAACCCTACACCTACACCCCGTTTCCAAAGAGTCTCTTCCCTCTTTTCTCTCTGTCGTCCTCCTCTCTACCATTGTTGTCTACTTCGTGCTACGTTACTCCGTTGTTTTCCTCACAGATCTGAGGTGTATCTGGCGTCCAGGTTAGTAGCCTTGCATCTGCTATAATTTTGTTTGCTGCTATAATTTTGTTTGCTGTAATATGGTTCGTGTTCGGTTCGTGATTCGGTCACCGGAGCTCGCTTGAGTTGCACGTCCGCAATTGGAAGTGCGGAAAGGGCACAAAACCGCATTTCGATCTGCGGCAAGGAGAAACGCAGTTCGATCTGCGGCAAGAACAAACCACAGTTCGATCTGCGGCAAGAACAAACCGCAGTTCGATCTGCGACACAGATAAAGAACACCGGATTTCAAATGGCGTTTAGGATATATTTAGCTTTTTTAATTTTTTTTTTTCAAATGGCGTTTAGGATATATTTCAAATGGCACAGATAAAGAACACCCCAGTTTGAAACTTAGCTTTTTTAATTTTTTTTTATTAGGTTAGGATATATTTATTTTATTAGGTTTTATTTTTATTAGGTTAGTATAATAAATTAAATTTTTTATGTTAGTTGTTATTTTCGTACTATATTATTTATTATGTATTTAATTTTATTTATGTTTTTTAATTTTTTTGAAATTGAAATAATAATTAAATTGTTTATTGAAATAAATAATAATTATTATTTTGGATTTATTTGTAATAATTTAATTATTATATATGTAATTTTTTTGGATTTTTATATTACTTTTTATTTGTTTGAATATTTTTAATTACATTATTAATTACTTTTTGTATATAATATGTTAATAATATAATTGGTTAATAGATATGTTAATAATATAAAAAATCATAATATAAAACAAGAAATTTAAAATAAATAATAATACCATAATTAAAAAAAATGAAAAAAAGCATGCAGGAGTATAATAAAAAAAACATTACAGAAAAGAAAAAAACCATGCATGAAATAAAGAAAAAAAATAAGCATGCATAACAAACGCACTTTGAAGTGCGGCTAAAATATAAAAAAACGCACTTCGAAGTGCGGCCCATAGTTTTCGCAGCTCGAAGTGCGGTTACGAGAAACGTACCTGTCTTCTCCCTCTCGTCACAGCACCAATGTCCAGATCTCTACCACCAGATAACCACCAACTCACCACCACCACCAATGTCCAGATCTCTACCACTAGAGAATGATAACCACCAACTCACCACCAGAGACCAGAGAATGATAACCACCAACTCAAGGAGTGAAAAAAATAACAAAAACAGTACACAATGCTTGCTATGCTACAGTCAAAACGAAGAAGGCTGTAGCTTAGTTTAGGGTTTATAGTCAAAAGAAATTTTAATTGTAGTTGGCAGTTACGAAAATGTTGGTGGTTAAGAAACATTAATTAAATTTTGACTTTTTTATTAAATGAAGGGTAAAAAGGTAAAATTGGAGGTGGAGGATGAAGGCAGTGAGGTGTAGGAAGAATCACTCAAGTATTTTTCATATAATATAACATAAATGGTCGATTTTAGCTATTTAATTTAATACAATAATTAAAATTTTACATGGAAAATTAGTTTGTGTTAATATATTTTGGATTTATCTTCCATTAACTATGTTTAATTATACCGTACAATATGTTTTTAATATGTTTGACGTTATGTTAGAATACAAACAAAATTTCATATAAGATAAAACAAGAAATGGATATTTATATACATATAAAATATCTCTATTGCTAAGATGTCTTTTGAAGTGGTATCAAAAACAAATCATAGTTCAACAATTAAAAGCTATCCAAAAATAATTGTTCAAATATACAATATTTCTAAATTATAGGACGGTTAGGTTTCTCACTTGAATTATCTTTTGGTCTTGTTCTAAATTATGTGACAGTTAGATTTTTCACTTGGAGTTTCTTTTGTTCCTGTGTAATCCACTATCATAGCACAAAGAAAATAAAATAATCACAAGACAATGATAAGTTAATATATTTAGAAAAAAAACATATAATTACATTCAAGGATTAAGACCAAGCGTACAACTAATTCATTCAAACAAACATTATATGAGCAAATCCTAATAACTATTTATGGAGGATTTTTATATTGAATCAGACATAAGAGATTAGGCATATATCAAAAGATTCCAATTATATTTTGACTTATAAAACTATCAAACTTTCCTACATGACAAGTTTAGTTCACCTATGTCAATTAGAAAAGATTCGTTTAAAATCAATTCCCATCATAGGAACCTTCATCAACTCTCACTAACTAGATATTTTATCCTATGTGGGTTGAAATACCTTGTAGAGAATATGAATCTTCTTAGTCTTTTTTAATACACATAACACAAAAATGGAATATTATTTTCCTTAAGAGTCATTCCACATTCATTATATTCTAATTACATGTCATTTCATTCTAATTACATGTCATTTCATTTAATAGTTAAACATCCTTAACATTCATATGTTTAGTAATAACTCATTCAATGTTAAGAAATCTATTAAAGTCAACCGATTTTTGACCAACATCCTAAACCTATACTAAATGCAACTCACAGAAAAGTTATGACTAACACAAGTTGTGTGACACCCAGCGCTATCCATCGACGCCCAATGAGTCACGACAAGAGCAATGAGAGCATTCCTAGAGCTCCAAAATTTTAAATGTGAGTGGTCGTGACAGTCCCTTGGTGAGGCCTAACGCCCACAAGTCAATAAACTCACTGACTTTGTTATATTTAATGGTGTTGGAATTTCGTTCAAAGTGAGAAAAATCAATGACCATTGTCAAAGTAACACCTAATATTACATCAAAATCTTAAATTTTTACTGTGAATTTTAATTGAACAAAGTCACTCTTCATAATCTATTCATCACTTATCAATTTCAACCATCAAATATATCTTTCCGATTACGTTTACCAAATCTATTTAGACTATGCCCATTGTCTCATTCTCTAAGTAATGGTAGTTTATTATATAGTATACTGTTTTTCCTATCTTTCTTAGAAGTAAATGAATTAGTATTTTATTTTATTTGTTTGATATTACAAGTTTTAATAATTATATTGCAATTACCTTTTAACTATTCTAAAATAATTAAGAAATTATATTCATTAATTTTGGTAAAATATAATATCTTTGAATAGACTAAAAGAAATGTTTGTGAATGACCATAAAACTAGTAAGGTTAAATGTTTAAACTGTTGTCAAATAAAATCTTAGGAATTATTGTAAGAGTATGAAGATAGTTAATAGTTAATTGAAAATAAATAACAAATTAAATTAAATAAATTAAGGGCATGGACTAGTTTAAATTATGTTTGTATTTCCTCATTGGTTTTCTTTTTTTCTCCAAACCGAGACACTAATTTCTGCTTGTGGTAGTTAGATCAGATTCAGTGTAAGGTGAGTGATATAAAAAATGTAAGTGGCCCATTACGAGATAAATTTTGAGTTATTTTTAATAAGGCTAAGATTATGCTATTTACACTCCTCCTTTATACTAATAATACACCATCCCTCCCCTTTTGTTTTCAAACTACGTGCTAATCACACTCCTCTCCCACCATCACATCCATTTTCTCCCTCAGATTTAATTATCTTCCAAAGAAGTGTAAATAATAATGGAAAAAGTTTGATTGACACGGATTAAAAAAAATTCATTTAATACTACTTTATTATGATTTTAAATTAAAAAATAATATAATTATAATTAAAATATTATTATTTAACCGTGTCGTATGTAATTTGTCGTTTTTTTTTATCAAAGTACCACTCTTAGGAAAGAGAAAACTTTTTTCCGTGCTTTTATATATTTTAATTTTAGTATATACCGGAAATAATTTATGTTTGTCTTTATCTTCTCTTTCACATTTTTTATTTTTACTGTGTGTTTATTGAAAAATACATGTAATTTAAAATATGTATTTTATTTTATATTTTAAATTAATCTAAAATGTAAAATATAATACAAATTTATATTTTAGATTTTACATCACGAAGAGTTTCCGAATCAAATAATTCGGAATTAAAAATGATAATCCTAAATTAAAAAGTAAATTTGGAATTTTTTAAGGTTAGAATTGCAAAAAGAAACAGCTTAGGAGAGGTTATAAAAACTACAAAAGCCATTTGAAGAAACGGGCTCTAAAGTTCACTATTAATATTGATTTGAAAGTAATAGAAAAAAAAGAGAGTATAAATTGAGGGAAATACATAAATAAACCCTTAAACATAATTTAAATTTTTAAATTCTATACTAATAATAATAAGTACATAAAGTACTAATCTACTAACACTATTCATGATAACCTTCCAATTATTAATAAGACACATAAACCTAACCGCCTTAAAATAACAAATTAAGAGAAATTAAAGGTGAGAGCAAATTCTGTAAAATTTAAAAGTGATTAAGATTTAATACTATTTAATTACAATGGATTATAATTGTTTAGACTTAGTTTATTAAGAATAATATTTGTTTACGTATTTCATTTCCTTTATATATTGGCTGAGATCATTTTAAAACTTCTGAAGATGATAGGAGGCTTGTCATTTTAAACAATGACATTTATCATAAAATTTTAATATGATTTTTATTT